GGCCCCGGGTGCGCTCCGCTTCCCAGATGTTGCGGTGTGATCGTGCCCCGAAAATCCGCCCGACATTCATGCCTTTTGCGCAGCAAATTCTCCGTGTGACCAGGCCCTTGTAGACTTAGATTAGAAATGCAATTAGGGTGAAAGCTGCAATTAGGGTGAAAGCTGATGCGAATGGCAGTGAGCGGCGGCGTAACATCGGCGGCGGCAGTGCTGGTGGATTGAAGCGGTGCAGAGCGATCCCTGGTGGCCAGAGGGAAGACACCGAGCGACGGCGGCAGCAGCAGCAGAGATCTGAGGCGCACAACGATGACGTAGGCATGGCGGTGCCTAACGGACGGAGCCGGTCAGCGTGTATGAAAGTTGGGCGTCTGCGTGATGCCGGGAGTTTCGGAGGAATGTCGCGAGCCAGGAGGGGGACGCCGCGCCAGCCCAGCAGCCGAGAAGAAAGAACTGTGTCAACTTAGCCGCAAGTACGAACAGACGCTGAGCCGAGCCAAGGACGCATCTTCGGCAGGACGCCACAGGTTGGCCACGGGTGCGCTATGCTTCCCAGATGTTGCGGTGTGATCGTGCCCCAAAAATCCGCCCGACATTCGTGCCTTTTATGCGGCAAATTCTCCGTGTGACCGGGCCCTTGTAGACTTAGATTAGAAATGCAATTAGGGTGAAAGCTGCAATCCTAAGAACACTGGGAGTAAGCCCCATTGAATTGACCTGAGTAGGATTCTGAGTAGACTTAGGATTGCTCCCTTAGCACTGTGATAGAATTAGGAATTATTTTTAAATAAATTTTTATTTGACTAATTAAGAGTGATTTGACCAGGCAAAGTAATATTTGATTTGCCTTATTTTCTGCAAAGAAGTGGGCTGGATCCAGTGCAGTATTTCCATGGGCAAATGGAGCTCTACACATCCAAAGATAACGTTGCCTCAGGCTAGAGAACGGGGATCTCAGGGGGTGTTTCAGGCTGTTGTGGTGGGGCGGCAGGGAGCACAACAGTCGTACTCTATACTTGGAAGTCCTTGGTGGTGGAAACACTATGCTGGATACAACCCAGTGAGTAGAAGAAGAAGACTGTGAGGTGGGTGGGGCTGAGAGAACTCTGACACAAACTGCTCTTTTTCAAGGACAGCTGTGCCAGAGCTTGTGACTGACCCAAGGTCACATCAGCAGGTGCAAGTGGAGGAGTGGGGAATCAAACCCGGTTCTCCCAGATTAGAGTCCACGCACTTAACCACTACACCAAACTGGCTCTGAATATTCAGTAATCCCCCAAAATGACAGTAAAACATTACCGAGTACAAATCTAGGTATGGAATTTAAAATAAATCCTTACACCTGGAGGTAGGTGTCAGAAATGGGGCTTTTGTCTGTTTGTTTTTATTCATTTGATTCAAACATTTACATTTATTTTGTCTCACTCATCTTTGTCTCCTTCCTGATGAAATGTGTTGTCAGACCAAATGATCTGCCTATATCTGTTCTTCAGAATCCGTCTGTTTGTTCAGATAGAGTAACCATGTAGTTACTCCATGAACTAACCCTCCTTTGCTGTTGTGCTCAGAGTCAACCATAGTTTACCATTACAATCTGAACCACCAAAGTATAGTTTGTGCTACCATTCCAAACCAGGGGTTGGATCCAAACAGCTTTTCCACTGGTGACCACCACGAAGGCTGTACTGGAGATCATGGGACCAGCATGTACAGACATCATGTAGGAAGGGAAACATGTGAGGGGAAACAGGTGAGACTAAGGGTGATTTCCCTCAAGCGCTGCTCCGCGCTCACTCTTCTCTTTGGCCCGATGGTACATGTCAATTTCACACAAGCTGCTGTGTGACTGCATTTTGCCCCGCAACTTCGTGCGATTTTCCCTGTGTCTACTCAATCCTGGTTTTTGAGGATTGAGTAGATGCGGGGGAAATCGCATGAAGCTGTGGGGCAAAATGCGGCCGCACAGCAGCTTTTGTGGAATTGACACGTACCATCTGGGCAAAAGGGAGGAGTGAGCGTGGAGCAGCGCTTGTGGGAAATCACCCTAAGTGAAAAAGTTGGCTGAATCGTGGATCCAGTCCTAGGGTTGCAGATCCCATTTCAGTGTTAGTTTGCAATCCTGGTTTGGAAGACTGGAACTCACGGCTCGTTCATGTAGTTCCAAACCTTGGTTAGTTTGACATCATGCCTGACCCAGCCCAATATGTTTTATTTGATCTTCCCATTCAGTAAATTTTACTGTCAACTCTATAAGGAGTTTATAATTAACTTTAAATGCCTGCCTGTTACCTACGGACTTAATTACATTTTGTGAAACCTCTTGATTTTTGAACCATAAGCAAGCAACCTCCTAGTCATTATTAGAGAGAAAGGCCATGTTTAACATTATTTACTCTGTGTTGGAATAGGGGGTCAGCAAAACAAGAAACAGAGGCTGCTGGGATAGCTGATGTTAACCAAGTCTGCAGAGGACAGTCTCAATGTTTGTTTATACATCCGATAATTCTGAGTCTGTAGGGTTCTTTATCAAGGGTCATGACTCCTGAGAAAACAAATGTTGTATTATCTTAGTAATTCCAAACTGAATAGTCAGCTAATGAGTTCTGTAAGTTCAGAGATTTACAGATTTACATTTTGAGATGAATGCTGACTCTGCTTGCTCAAGAGTCAGAACCGCAAAAACACTGGGTATATAAATAATCACCAAGGCTTAAGACTTGGTGATCAGCAACTTTCCTGTTCTGTTGTTCTGTTGGTACTGGGATACAGATGTCTGCACTTCCTTGGTGATGGAAGTGACGAATCGGGGCCAGCTCCACCATGAGGTGACCAGAGAGGCAGATTTTGGAGAGCAGCAACCTCCCACCCTGCCTACTGCCAGCCTAGGGTTGCCAAATGGGCCCGGGGGGCGGGGAATCCCCTGCTTCGGAGGCCCAATTTCCGCCGCGGGAACCGGAGGTGACGCAGCCACGTTGCTGACGTTGGGGGCGTGGCTGAGCTCGTCAGGGGGGAAACCATATGGTTTCCCCCCCCGACGAGCTCGGCCACGCCCCCAACATCAGCAACGTCGCACGTCACCTCTGGTGACGTGCTGCCGGTGTGCGCGCGTCCTGAATCAACTCCCGGACCGCGGTGAGGCTCCCCCGCCGTGAGGGGTAAGTCCAATTGGCAACCCTATGCCAGCCAGCTGCCCCCTCCCATCCCTGCTTAAGGGCTGGAGCAGGTGATTCTCCTTACCACGTCACTCCCCCCGGGCTCTTTAGAATAGGGTTGCAAAGCGTTACCTTCCTCCGCAGCGGGGGACTCCCGGGCCGAACCATGGAGTTTTCCCTCGGATGACTGTGCCCCCGCCCCCAGCTTGCCCGGCGTTGTCACGTCACTTCCTGGTGACGTGCACGTGGGGGCGGAGTTCCCCCTGGGGCCCTATCCGGCGGCGGCAAACGGGCCTCTGGGGTGGGGATTTCCCCCCCCCCCGGGGGACTTGGCAAGCCTACTTTAGAAGCAGCACAGCAAATGATTTATGCCAGTTCCCAAACTCTCACAAGATTCATGCAAGAAGTCAGTCATCATTTTTGGTTGCTGTTGCCATGGCATCCAAAATGATGGTCATAATCAGGGGTCGTTTCCTGCAGGAGTGCACAGGAGCGGAGCTCCGGCAGTAAAGAGCCCAGGGGATGGGCACATGCAACAAGCCCCACCCCCTGCTCCCAGCAGCCCTCAGTCAGAGCAAGAAGCAGCCAGGTAAGTTGCAGAGCTTCCCCCGCCCCCCCCCGGTCCAAAACAGTCCAGTGGCACCTTTAAGACCAAGTTTTATTCAAGTACAAGCTCTCCCTCCTCTGCTAGGACAGATCTGCATGTCCCCGTCCCCCTCAATAGCTAGCAATCCAAAACAGTCCAGTGGAGCCTGAGCAGTGAGTGTTGCCTTCTGACACACTTCCAGTGATGTCAGGGGGTGTGGCATATGCAAATGAGTTGTGTTAATGAGCTCCTGCACCTTTTTTTCTATGAAACGACCCCTGGTCATAATCATGCACAAGGTAGTAATCTCACAAGAGTCTGAGAAGCCCTATAGAGCATGCCTGACTTGCTCTGTTGTTTTTTAAGATAGGCAAGGCTTTGAAGAGCTAAGGAGGGCTGTCTGCTCTGGTCCCTGTGTGGGGGCAGCAGTAGTGATGAGGTATGTGTGGAAAGATGGTGGCCATTGCCGGTATGCCTTATTATAGTAACAATATGATCCAGAAGTTCCTGTTCACTGGGGACAGTCCCTAATACCTGGCCCGGATTATTTACTACCTTTAGTTTGTCTTTACTGTTTTGCCTTTTGGAGATGCCTTGTACAAACGGTGTGTATTTTCTCTAGAGTTGTCATTCTTTGGGGTTCAGCTACAGGTCTCTGGAAGTTAAATATGTGACTGGATGGGTGGGGAGATGTCTGTAGTGTACTGAGGTGCCATGCAGTGCACAACCTGCTGTTTCATACACCTCACAGCAGCTAAAGTGTATCCTGAACTGTTGATGACACTTTGTGCAGGACGACTGTGTTTCCCCAGTATATTGTTAAAGAAAAGCATCATAACCCTCTTGGCTTTTAAATCAATGGAGGATCAGCTATTGCAGGATAAACCTGTGTAACAGCAAACAGTGGTAAAGTAAGGGTTGCCAATTCTGGCTTGGGAAACTCCTGGTGGTTTGGAGATGGGCCCTAGGGAGTGTGGAGTTTGGGGAAGAGCGAGAGTTAAGCAGGGGTGTGATGCCATAGAGTTTACCCTCCAAGGAGCCACAAGGAGGCTGGCTGAAACCAGGGCCAGGACTTTCTCAGTGGCGGCTCCACGCTGGTGGAATGAGCTCCCGGAAGAGATTAGGGCCCTGCGGGACCTTTTACAGTTCCACGGGGCCTGCGAGACGGAGCTCTTCCGCCAGGCCTTCAAGTAGGAGCCGCCACTACCATCACCATCATTCTACCATCAACTTAACAACAATACAAGCCTGGTGCCTGGTCTATCACTGACAGCCTGCGCTCACTGACTGTAGTTAAGAAAGATCAGTGTGCTGCATACTAAGTTAATCTACAGAATGGATAGCGCCGTCTATATGATCTTATAATATAACTGCTAGCACTTTAATATTAATGTAACATTGTTTTAATGAATCGTTTTTAAATGTCTATTATATTTATTGTTATTATACTTTTAGTTTGTAAACCGCCCTGAGCCTGCCTCGGCAGGGAGGGTGGGGTACAAATTTGAAGAAATAATAAATAAATAAATATTTCCCCCCCAGGGAAAGTGGTCTCTGTAGGCTGGAGATCTGTTGCAATTCCAGAACTCCAGGACCTGTCTGAAGGCTGGCAACTCGACGTAAAGTGCCTTCACCAACGTTTAATACTGGAAGAGGAAACCTGCAAAGTGAACTACCGTATAATAATATGAGTATCCCAACTATGTCCCTAATTCCAGCTATTAAATTTCAGAAGGAATGCAGTAATCAGAGCAAAATGGCTTCAAAAACAAGGTTAAATTTCTGATGAGTGTTTAAATGATCTAACCTTAAATGGCATATTAACTTTTATTTTGGCTGCACACCATCAGGTTCACTTGCTGTGGTTCTTTTTGCTAGATTAAACAAACAAACAAAAACTACAGTAGTTTTCCCTAAAAGATGTGGCTTGGATCCCACTTCCATCCACAAACCACGATCCTCCCCTCCTGCTAGGGCCCCAAATGCCTCCCCCCCCAAATGCTGCTTCTGTGAGATGGAAGACCACTTTCTGGGGGCCAGTTTGGTGTAGTGGTTAAGTGCGTGGACTCTGATCTGGGAGAACTGGGGTTGATTCCCCACTCCACCACTTGCACCTGGCTGGATGACCTTGGGCAAGCCATAGTTCTGATAAGAGCTGTTCTTGAAAAAGAGCAGTTTCTGTCAGAGCTCTCTCAGCCCCACCTACCTCACAGGGTGTCTGTTGTGGGGAGGGGAAGGGGAAGGAGTTTGTTAGGGTTGCCAAGTCGTTCTTACTCACCGGCGGGGGAGCGTTCCTTCGGTCCGGGAGCTGCCGAGGTACACGCGCGCGCTGCCAGAACATCACAGGAAGTGACGCACGACGTAGAGCACGTTGGGGGCGTGGCCCCAATCGTTGGAGGGATAGTGAAGGGCAGGGTATAAATCCAATCTTCTTCTTCTTCTCATCTCCTCTGGGGGGCCATTCCACAGAGAGAGAGCTACAGCGGGAAAGGAATGGATTCTGATTGATGCTAGGTTGGCTACCTTAAGTGGGGCCAGTAGCGGCGGCCTGAAGGCTGTAGTTGGTGCACAGAGGCATACGGAAGGAGGCAGCATCTTACATATGTGGGTCAGAGGCGTCAAAAGTCATAAAAGGCACCTGGAATTGGACTCAGAAACAAATTGGCAGCCAATGCAGCTGTTTCAAAGTGGGCAAGATATATTCCCATTGGCCATCAGGCATTGCATTCTGAACCAGCTGCAGTTTCCAGTTGACAAACCAGGTGCAGTGCTGATGTAAGGCACTCTTGGCCACTACAAGCTACTACAAGCTACAAGCTACTACAAGCTACTTTTCAAACAGCAAGGTTGTGTCCATGAGCATCCCACTTTCTTAATTTGCTCTGCAAAAGCCAACTCCACTCTATCCAAGACAAGTGGGTCCAGTCCCCCTAAAGCATCAGGATTCCCAACCAGCATTATTTCTGTCTTCTCTGGATTTGCCTTCAGCTTGTTCGGCCCTTGCCACCAGAACTCTGGAGGTGACCAATGAGAAACTAATGTTATATAAATAGTCTATCGTTGGAAGTTGGGTGTGCTTGGGTGTGGTTTTTGCATTCTATTTAAACAGGGCTGTTGCCCTGGTGTTTTAGTCTTGTTCCTGAAATCCCTTGACAAAGTAGAGCTTGATAAAGTAGATCTTGAGCCTAGTATTTAACACTGCTGTCACATGAAAACATGAAGCTGCCTTATACTGAATCAGACCTTTGGTCCATCAAAGTCAGTACTGTCTACTCAGACCAGTAGCGGGTCTGCCAGGACTCAGGCTGAGGTCTCTCACATCACTTCCTACCTGATCCTTGTAACTGTAGATGCCGGGGACTGAACCTGGGACCTTCTGCATGCCGAGCAGATGCTCTGCCAGTGGGCCACAGCCCTTCTGAAGGTCACACCGTGTAGCCTGTGCTAAAGGAAAGACCACACAAGTTAAAAGTCTCCGGTTGAATCTGCATTTGCATTTTTAAATCAGTTTCCTGCTGCTGTAACACCGTCTTTCTCTATGCTTGTTTGAATGCTATTTGGAGAAGATTCTTTTAAAGCAGTGTGGAGGTGCAATGACAGTGGAGCCACCACAAAAGGGCAATAAACATATGCGGACATGCAAAAGTATGTTCAGGTGTGAAAATGAAACCAAATGTAGACAGCTTTTTTGAAGACAGAGTCGGAAGGCTGGGACACCAGTGGGAAAGACAAATGCAGATTCGACCAATGTCTTCCCTGTTCTGCTTACATTCCTGAAACTGACCCCAACATTTATTGACCTGTTGTCAATACTGAGAACATCTTTGGGAGCCCTCCCAGGATAAGTGCTGCCTCAAATAACCTCTTACGAGGCACACAAATATAAGGCTGTAAGAAGAATATCTTATACCAGTGTGGTTCCTCCACAGAGCTTTTTTATTACTAAGAAGACTGAAACAACAAAAACAATTAGGGTTGCCAGTCCCCAGGTGGGGCCTGGAAATCTCCCACTTTTACAACTGATCACCAGCTGGCAGAGATCAGCTTCCCTGGAGAAAATGGCTGCTTTGAAGGGTGGACTCTAGGGCATTGTACCAGGGCCGTAGCTAAAGCCCTCTTAGTGGGGCGGGGCGGCCGCTCCTTCCTCCCCGCCCGCTTGTCTTCCTTTCTCCCGGACTCTCTCTGCGAAGGCGAAGCCGGCGGGGCGTGAGAAGGGGGGAGGGGGCGCAGGCCCGTGGCGGGCAGGCCGCAGCGGTGGTGGCGGTGGGGCCCCGGCCGAGGCCCAGGGAACGCCCCCCTCTGCCGTCCTCCTCCTCGCTTTGGGAGACTGAGTCCGCCTCACGGGCCAGGTCCAGCCTCCGGGGTCGCCTCTTGCGGCGGCGTGCAGGGTGAGTCGTGTTGTTGGGCGTGTTTGTCTTGAGCCCCCCTCCCGACCCGTGCTCCCTCTTAGCTGTGGGGTCTTGTGAGCCAAAATTCCACTTTGTGAGCCGCTGGCATTAAAGTTGTGAGCGAGCGCTTAGGCTGCTGCTTAAAATGAGTTTGTTCTGGAGCGATAGGCGGGCCGCCGCCAAGGCAGGAAGGGCTGTGGCCAGAGCCGGGACCCTGACAGTCAGGGCCAGAGAAGGAGGCGGCGGCAGCGGCGGCACTGATTTGGGAGGGGAGGGGGGAGCAGGGGAGGGGGTCCGCAAAACCAGCGGGAAGGCCCAGGCGCAGTGGGCCCCACGCAGGCTCCGGGCCTGCATTGTACCATGCTGAGGCCCCTCCCCTCCCAAAACCCTGCCCTCTCCTGGATCCACCTCCAAAGTCTCCAGGTATTTTCCAACCCAGCTGGAAAATCTAAAAACAATGCTTTGAACCTAAGATATCAGACAACTAACAAACTTTCATGACTTTTTAAGGGGAACTGTAACAATTAATTATTTTTTCTATCCCACAAATGTACAGGGTGTCCACATGAAACTTTGAATAAGTACAGCTTCTAAATGGGGTCACATAATGTAACACATTTTTTTGCATAGCAACTCAGAAAGTTTATTACAGCAACATTTTTAGCATTCCACGTAACTGCAGATAGCTGAACGAGGCTACAACAGAACATCACTGATACTGTTGCAACTTTAGATGCAAGCATGCTTGAGTGAAACTGAAGTTAGGTGTCATTTGGGGCCGGAGCGCACCGGAGCGCTGCTCTGGCAGCCCAGGAGCTGGCACAAATGGTGGCAGCGGCAAGCCCCGCCCCAGCTCCCTGCGCCGAAGCGCTGTGGCCTGTGGGAGGCCTGAAGAGGCCCGTCGCCAGCTTCTCAGGGCCCACGCCGGAGCGCTGCTGCCTGGGAAAGGCTTTGATCATGGTGAGGGATCCGCGCGGGTGGGGGGGTGGGAGAGCCTTCCTCCCTCTCCCCATCTCTTTGCCCTCTTTCTTTCCCTCCTTTCCTTCTCTCCTTTCCTTTCCTTTCTAACAAAAAAAAGAAT